CCAGTCCTCGCGCTTCGTTCTAATGACATGGAAATTAGACTTTGAAACGGTACTGAATGATTTCTTTTGTTGGTAACAAAAACCTGCGCTCTCCAGGGGGGGGGGTTGATGGATCGATGATGCCTTCTTGCAATAAGCGGTCAACTTTGGCGCGAATGAATTTTTCATCATCCGGATGGTGCCTCCCTGATATGGTTGCAACAGGCCTGCAATCTGGAGACGAGTTGGCGAAAAGTGATGGTGATTCAACGTTTACTGCCGTTAGACCGCAGATGATGAGCGCATCATGATCTCCACCGAATGAAATTTCTATCTTTCCCTGTAAACTTAGAAGATCATTCCCCAGTAGGACGTCGGTGCAGAGGTTTGGTATTACAAAGAGCCGAAGTTCATTGTATGATGTATCTCTGTATCGTACGGAAACAGAAGCGTAACCGGTCGTTCGACATGACAGTGATGTACACGCTATTGTGATGACTAAGAAATTTGGGTTAATTTTTCAATTATATAGTTTCATGACTTTAGGATTAATGAAACTACAAGAACTTCCTGTATCGACTAGTGCACAGGAAGCGATGCCATTGACGTTGATAGTTGCATGTGCCAGGCAGGTAGGTGCTGCTGCAACGAATAATGACAATAAAGTGTGCTTCATTGTGCAATTAGTATGGAACTCGGTGGTATTTTTTTTGAACGGCACACATGGGAAAAGTGACCGCTTTTACCGCTAAGCCTACAAACGGCTTCTTGAGCGGGGCACTTCAAACAAGGATGTCTACCATAACCGCAGCAATAACATATTTGAATGGATTTTACAGAGGCACGTGTTTCGGGATTCTGGGTGGAATCGTAGAGCAGGATATAGCTTCGCTAGTAACATATGGCTGTGACTTTGTGAGCCAATTTGAGGGATTTAGCAAGCTGATATGCTTGATCAAGAGTGAGTTCGCTCTGTGCTAAAAGTTTTGCGGAGAGACGTGGACGCCAGGCATGATGCACGCACTCATCTTGATGTTCAGTTGCAGATACCGACTTAAACTCACAGTTTTCAGTTTTCGTACGAGCTGATCAATATTCTGTTCGTTCTCTTGTAGGTCTGCAGCAAGTAGCGTGCATATATGACATTTTTTGGGTGGACATTAATTTTCGTAACGTGTTGACCGCAGATTCATAGTCGGTATAACCAGCAAGGTAATTATATACCAGCGGATCCAGAAACTGGATGAGAGTTTCAAATTTGTCGGGTTTGGAAGATCCGACAGTTTTCAGATGTCAGGTGTGGAAGGTACGAAACCAGTGATTCCAGCGTTTTGCTGCATCTGCAGAGTTTGGGTCACCGTCGAGTTACCAAGGTCGTAGCCGCGAATCCATTGTTTTTTTTGACAAGCGAATTGAGACGTTTAGAATGTATCCGAAAACGAGTTAGAACAGAGTCCGGATCATCGAGGATAAAGAACGTTTTACTTGTCTAAGAACAAGCATGGATGAGCTGAATTGTAAATACAAGGTTTCAGTATGATTATGTAGGGTAAGTATAATGATAAGCACACAAAAATCACGACAGCTTCACACCTGCAAAGTGTGAAATGCTGCCACAAGACTGGGTGGAATCAAGCAAAACCTGATACTTGCGGGCGAGCCAATTGATGCGGTAGATAAATTTGTGTACATGAGCGGTTGTGTACGTTCCGGTGGACTGGTTGGAAATGAGGTCGTTTCTCGAATTGGAAAGCCAGGAAGCTTCTGCCAACCTCACACAGCTATGACACTGACGTGACGTGAGTTGATTTGTCAAGGGCGGGATGTACACTGCAAGAGTGCTATCCTTACTGCTTCATTCGTCAGACTTGGCCCCTACGCACAAAGGACATACGAAAGCAGTCGGTGTTTGGCCATCGGTGTCTCAGAAGCATTGGTCGGAACATCAGATTAATAATGTTAAGGTGCGCCAGATGGTCCTAGGAAGAAAAAACTCTCCCACGATGGATGAGTTACTCACGATTCATAGGTTACGATGGTAAAGACATATGCTCCACATGCCAGAAGACCGTTTGCCTCGCTGAGCTCAACTAAGCTCTCAGCCCCTTGCTGAATGGAAGCGACCGAGATGTGGACAGTGTATGATCTGGCAACGAACTATGAAAACACTAACTAGTAAACTTAGCCGGGTCGGCAACTGTCGCCTCCCTGATTGGGGACCCCGGGACTCGATTCACCAAAGGTTAATGACGGGCAGAAATAGCCAAGGGCGCTCGTGCACCAAGGCTATCGCCTTCAATGTGTAGCTATCCAGTTCCCGAACTAACCAAATATACCGTCGTTTCTGAGGCCTGGCTGTATATTCAACACTCCCACTTTCCGGTGGTCGAAACGGCTGGAGCCATTGTGTCTAGGGCGCACGGTTTATAGGGTGTGGGATGGCTCAGTGGTTAGAGCGCGAACTTACTGCCCGGAAGGTTCTTGGTTCGAACCCGACTTCTCCCTCTCGACTTCCCCTGTCTAGGCCATATCCCAGCCATCTTGCTTCCTTCGGGTGGCATGGCAGCTAGGCACTGAAAGGATGTTACAACTGAACGATTTTTTACACGGTTTATAGGTGATAAATTGATTGATTGATAGCGTTTCGGCTTACGTAGGATTCAAATCCCGTGACACTCACAGAGTCTCTCATACTAGGTTGGTCAATGGTTAGCGGTCTGACGAACACAGTCTCCTGGCCCCCCAGGTTGTGGATATGAACATGTGGTGACTTGTTCCGTAGAAATGGTAATGCATTTGCATTTCCCGTCAAGTACCGCGGTCTTACGGTTAGGCTTTTGAGCCAAATGCTTAGGTTGAGAACCCTAATCGTCCTCCTGTCTAGGTGTGGGCGCCCTGGCAGTACCCCAGCGCACGTACAACCATGAACTGCACATACACAAATAAACCCATGGCGGTGCGGCAAAAGAGACGCTCCTCAAGCGTTACATATATATATAATATATATAGTCACCATATAAAGCCGCCAACTGGTGGTCCATTCCGGATAGTGTAGGATTCTACTTCACACATGGTGATATTAACGGATACTAGATGCAGCCTATCGTCGATTGTATTTTTCACATTCTAATCAATGGTGCGATTCGTTCCCGTAACTCGTCACTTTGTCGCTGCGTTCATTTTCTGCAACCCCCCGATAACTACGATACCCACCAGAGATAAAAGTGATAGACTGGATTTGCCACTGAGTTCGTCGGTATGTAACGCTTGAGGAGCGTCTCTTTTGCCGCACCGCCATGGGTTTATTTGTGTATGTGCAGTTCATGGTTGTACGTGCGCTGGGGTACTGCCAGGGCGCCCACACCTAGACAGGAGGACGATTAGGGTTCTCAACCTAAGCATTTGGCTCAAAAGCCTAACCGTAAGACCGCGGTACTTGACGGGAAATGCAAATGCATTACCATTTCTACGGAACAAGTCACCACATGTTCATATCCACAACCTGGGGGGCCAGGAGACTGTGTTCGTCAGACCGCTAACCATTGACCAACCTAGTATGAGAGACTCTGTGAGTGTCACGGGACACTCCCCAGTATAGCTCAATGGATCACTGAGGTGCACAAACCGTTACACCACGGTAAGGTCCAGTCTGTTCGTGACGGAACTGAGACGTCTCCAGGTGTTCGACAATCGTTGTTTCAGAACGATAGCTCGTGTGGGTTGATGTCGGCGAATCCGTAACTAGGCAGTTGGAAAGCGCGTTTTCGATTGTGTAACGGGCACTTCCTTTGAAGAATGTGTCCAGCACCAGAAGGTGCGTTGGTTGGGACATGTTTTGCGTATGTCGAACCATCGTTTGCCGAGGAGAGTGCTTTTTTCCATGCCCAACTCAGAGTGGCGTAAACAGAGAGGTGGCCAACCCTTGACTTGGCAGAGGAGTATGAAGGAGATCACGAAACGCTTGGGTGCTGTCGGTGCTACTCGCCTTTCAGGATGGAGACCGCGTGATCGTCACTGTGCCTGGTTGGTGACACTACAAGATATGGCTGCCAACCGATGTCAGTGACGTTCTTGTTGTCAGTTTCTATCCAGATTGCCTGAGTGAGTGTTTGGAGGTGTAGGCACCTCGGAATGATTGTGTTAAGCTGGCACTAAGTCCCTCCCCCGTCCACTTTTACTCTTTTCTCTACCATAAGGCTTTCAAATAAATCATGGTTGTACGGCAGTGAAGCATCGGTGTTGAACACTGATGTCATGATGTCGATGATGATGATGATGATGAGGATGATGATGATGATGATGATGATGATGATGGTGCACCGCCATGGAGAGCCAGCAAATCAAAGTCGTTCAGTCATCAATTGACCCGGCATGGTGAAATTGCTCTGTCAAACAGGATACCTGTGAATCTTGTTTGATATTTTCCCTGGTTCAGTAAAAAATGAAGAGCCTGTGTGAACAGATGTGGTGCGGTTTTTGGATTGAAGGTAAGATCTACAACGCTGCTACTCGTCCAGCCCTGTTTTTGCACTTTTGAGGCTCGTCCTCAACGGGCCGGGGGTAATTCGACCGGTTAAAGTGTGTAACCGCTAGCACTTGAGGTCATCCTTTAATACTTGACTGGCTGGAACGGTGATGTTCTTCACCAGTGACCGATATTATGTGATTTTTCGCTCTTACAACAGCAGCAGCTGATGTCTAATCGTAGTTTGCTTTGTTTTTCGGACACTGCCATCCTGATTATTTGAGTGTTTTTAGTTTTTATTCTGCTGGTGACTCTTTGGAGTTTGTAAGTCGGCAGATACTTCATAAATTATCCCTTAATTCTCGAGATTCCAAATTTTCTCTCCGAGTGCATCAAGTAGTCGGCCATTTATCTGTGGCTAGTTACTCAGTCGTTTTCTCTTCCAGGTTTTCGTGTAGTACTCCAAGGTCCATCCTCATCAGGAGTTTTATGTGTACACGAGCCACCCAGGCTCACGAGCCGTGTAATAGTGTGCTGTCTCTGAAGCGCATATTCTATGGACTACGAGAGAGCTAACAGCACACCTTCAAAAGATGACTCTTCTCGCGAAGAGTTCACGGCCATCCCCACGGATACATCAACCAGCAAAGATGACGTGTCCACAAAGGTCCAAACGCTGGCTACGGATATTTATCGAGAGCTGGAGAAACTAATTGGAGTATATGGGAACAAGTTCTTGCAGAATTTGATGCCTTTGGTGGTTTCAGCCCTGGAGAGCCTTGATGCGGTTCACTCTGAGAATCAAGATTTGACGTTGAAATTGGCACTCGTCAAACAAGACCAAAAGCACTTACTTAGTGAATATGAACGGGAGAAGAGTTCCCGAAAAGTAGCTGAGTCGGTATGTCACACTTATTTATGAATACTTTACATTGCACAGAGGGTGTTGCGGCTCGAAGATGAATGCGAAGAAGAGAAGAAAACCCACCACGCCAAACAAGCAGAACTGGAGGCGAACGCAAAAGTGTTGGCTCAGAAAGTTAAAAGCCTTTCGGATCAATGTGAGTCCATTTTCCATTTCCGTTCATTGGTGCATCTTAGTGGTTCGTCTCGAGGAACGGGACTGTGAGCTAACACGCGACTACCAGTGTCTGCACGACAGGTACACTGGGCTCATGCGGTCGTACGTTGAGTACGCTCAGCGCGTTCGGAACAATTCAAACACCAACCGAGTTGTGCCACATTCACTCGCCACGGACACCTTCATGCCAGCACGACCTGATCCTGTCAGCCTAAACTGCCTGGTCTCGCATCCTGCTAACACGAGCTCACCACCCCCTTGTCATCCAGCGGATTCTTGTGACACATATTTTGATGGTAGCCACTCTTGTTAATCTATATTTTTTAGTTGCAGCCGAACGTCAAAGAATAATGAAAAGCATTTTAGAAACGACCCCGGAGCTTTATGATTCTGGTGGAGATCAGCAGTAAGAAACTTAATCTTGGTGAACACTGTCTCAAGTTTTGCAGAGCCATCGTTTGACGAGCTGTCACAAGGTGACTTTCTCAGTGAAGACGGGCATGACGTGAAAAGTAAGTGTAGTTTGGTTGGTTTGATTACCTTGTAATTCCGTTTCATCGGTTCATTTCCATCAATTCTTGGTTTTCTGTCTTTCATCTTATATAAGTGGCAATAAGGATATTCCTGAATATTTCGGTTGTTCAGAAGTCATTTTTCACCCTTTGTAGAGATCCCTGTATCTGTTGGTTGTTATTTCAATTACTTCTTCAGTCTGACTATACCAGGATAGATTTTTCAAGAATTAGCACTTTTGAGCTACGTGTCCACTTGATGCATCTGCTTGCTCATACCTGAAGTTCTGTTTCTTTTCTGAGGCATGATCATATATCGGTTGTTGATCAGATGGCTGTTGATCTGTTCGCCGAGCTTGGCAATTGGCCTGCAAACGTTTCGTCACCATACGAGGAGACATCATCAGTGCGCAGTTGGGTGGCGCATGATCATATAAACGAGTAATCGGGGGTTTCGTCGGAGCGGTACTCTTGATTATTGTTCTTGTCGTCACCGTTATTACTGGTATTATTATTATTATTATTATTATTATTATTGATGATCACTATTCAGACTCCTTAACTTCGCATTAGCCTCCTCTGAGGACACTATAGCCTCAACCGCATGGATAACTAATGGGTCTTCACGAATCTATCTTCATTACTGTTGAACAGAAATTCAGTTCGTCTCATACTCTTAGCATTCGTCTTTCCGTCTGCAACATGTGTTCTTAAGTTTCTTGTTCAAACTAAATCAAGTTGACTAGTGACAGTGTTTCTTCACATAGTTGCCCCGCTTTGCGAAACTAATGAGAATTGAGCAGAATTCCAATCTCTTGAGCTTCGACAGGATCAGTCCAGAGGTTGTTTGTTGAGTTGAAGTGCGGTTTTCTTCGTTAGGAGTTTACTGCTGTGTAATTAAAATATAGGGTAAGGCTACAGATGTTCGTACTTCTGCTTTTTTATGTTACTTTTTTCTCAGGTTTTGATGGCTCTATTTGTACACCGCAGCATAACTTGGGCGATTCGGCAAGCTTGAGTATGTTCAGTGGTAAGTCCTCCACTATTGTCAGCTATGCGTAAAACTTCTCCGCATTGATTACAAATGGTAATCATGACGCGTTTGTTGATTAATGCAGTAACAGTAGTTTTGTAATAGACGTTATTGTAATGAGTTGGTTCGTGGTGCTTGTTGCATAGCAACGGTCAATGATTTTCAAGAAATCCCGTGAGGTCGGCTGTAAGTGACCGTTACTGACACCATTTTATCTGGATTATCGGTAACTGTTCCATGCACTTTTTCTTTCAAACAATGTAGGAATTGTTGTCAGGAGCATTGTTGTTGTTTCGTTTGTTTGGCTGGGTAGTTACCAACGGTCCTATACAAACCAATTAGCATAATAGATGAATTCATCACCAGCAGTTGATTTTTCGCTCACAGTTGCTGATAGTATCAGTGTGCATTGGCTGTTGGTCGATCACTGTGTGACCCTTAGTATGGCGACAACGGCTGAACTTACGGTCATCGTGTGTGTGGCTGCTTATGTTGACTTTTGAACGGATGACCGTGTGCTACACGTAGCACGTCATTCCGCTAATTGATGCTGTGTGGTGCGGAGATGCTAGCTACCTAGTCACAACCGCTGGACAAGTATAGGATCGAAATTAAGAGTGAAGACGGTCTATGGAGGCAACTACAGCCTTTCATTCACCATTTTCTGGCTCACACTGAGATGCCTGTTATGTTCAAGAACGGTTCAACCAATCTATCTCTTACTGTAAAGATACCCAAGTATATTGTTCGGTGACGTAATAGTAAAAAGGACAGATGTTCGTTGTTCACTTTTCGCACTTCTTTGTTGAGGGTATTTGAGGGCTAGTGACCACCGCACATGGTTTTAGACCACCGTTATGAGGCTTACGATAGCCCACCTCTTCAGCGCCATGGTCTCGAGGACTTGAACCCATTCACCTTTTAATACAGCCGACGACTCTGCACCGTCCATTCGGTTTAGCTAGTCTAACTTCACGTTATCTATTGAAGCGTTGTGTTTGGATTGCGAGATCCCGACACAGAAGCCTCTCTCCATGTTCCACATAAATTCCCTTCATTGTGGAGTCTCCACTCGAGTCAGTGGTTATGGTATTGTTTACGCCAATGGTTTTCATTTCATTTTCAATTCAACTCACACCGACCTACTAGATCTCAGGTGGCACTGCTCCGAAGGTTCTATGGATATCGCTACCGAATTTGGAGATTCATGATGTTTTGCCTGCACCTATAAGCTGACCAATTTGTCCTGAACCGTCTGCTCCTCCGCTGCAACTCTACCCTTTCATAACCTATTATCCCTTTTCACCCTAACATGCTCATTTCCCCTCCGTTCGTTGTCTTCTGTTTGATGCTAATCCGATTCACTGAATGAATGGAAGACTGATGCGACGCTGTCACTGATAGCGGTTAGTCGTCTTACCGGGGCCGATCAACCGATCATGGACTTTACTTAGCATCTCTTTTGCATCATGCTGTATTAAGGTGTCAGTCTCACTTTCCCTCACTTTGACTTACATTCCATGACCGTTTGAAGGATATTTTGGAAAGTTCAGGTTGGCTGCGGCTTCATCTTGTCTTGGGCATCTAAAACTGAATCACACCCCGTGAAGTCACCTCAATGAGTGAAATATTCTTCGAATGGATTTTCATATATATATATATATATATATATCAACGTTTCTCGTTGATTTTGACCATAGGGATATTAGAGTGAAGTACACAACAGGAGGAAGTGGTAAGGGGTTACAGAAATGTGTCATGTTTGTTGGTGATCAATTAGCATGGTCGTTTCGCCTAACGAAGTGAGCATTCGAGTCATCCGATGCACACCATATAGGTGGTCGTTATTGTATCATCACAGTAGATACTGTTCACGTGTATCTTTGCTTGGCTCAGTGGGTGTGTAGATCGTAGCTTGTGATTGTGGCTAATCACATTCACGTGCCTTTATTTAAATAAACCTGTCCGTGCAGCGGGTGACCAAGCCTCCATGTCAGTGTTGGTCTACTGGGCAGATTGGATTGCGAAGCAATGTAGGGCTTCATGAGACCCTTGCGGTTAGTGTTTCCCATTAGGGTCGCATACAATCAAGAACAAGCGACGAAGCCTGTGGTGTTTTGGCAAAACTTGGCCTGTAAAAAACTGAGCTGCGCTAAAATCAGTGTTTGGAGAGCACTGCTAAAACTTTCGGTTGCAGTGATAAGTGTGTAAACGCCTTCTTGGATTACGAAATGAATCAGGTCACTGATTAGTTCATTTCTAGGGCTGTAATGAGAGGGTGGAAGTTTCGGGTGACCAACTTCAATTCCTTCTAAGATTGGAAGTTAATCCCACATCAATCACCTTGGAGGGCTAAAAATTTTGGCATAACTTTCAGCCTATCAGTTTTAACCTGATACTCACCCACCAAACTCACTTATTAACCACTAAGAATGGGTTATTGGGTCCATCCGGAGGTTAATGTCATTCCGAAAGAATTGTGCTAAATTATGCCTGATGGGAAATTTCGTTGTTTAATCTTCTAGAGAATAGTCTCTCTCTATAGAATGTCTGTTGGTGTAATTAATGTAAGACGAAGCGGTGATGGCCTCCTGTCTAGAGAGTTAAGAGGGGCGATGTGTCCACATACGACCTGAGAACCACCCACCAAAAGAGCGAAGGTTTTCTATGCTGTGGAATTTTGCCTCAGAGCAGCCACTCCTATCAACGAACCACAAGTGTCGTTTGAAGGTATGGTTGGGCATCAGAATACATTAGCCGCTTAGATGACTTCTCAATAGGAGAAACAAATGATCACTGCTATTTGGCTGCGCTTGCTTTAGCCTACTATGTATATCATTTGAGGCCCACCCTCCAGCAGTGTTCTCTTTTGGTTCAGCTCACCCCCAGTTCACCTCCCACAAAGTATCCGCAGCCAAATTGGTAGGCTGACTTCATGTATTCATGAACAAATATCCAATCTGACTCTGCACCACAGACGAGTTTGTTTCGTAGGTCGTTAATTTGTAAAGGACCAGAAGAGAACAATCACCTGTTACAGTTATCCCGCGGAAGTGACCACCATTCATTAATGCCGTGGAAATCCTATCAAATTCTTCTGAGTTCTGAGTAGTCCAGTCAACCAAACTCTATGATGGACAGTCCTTCAATGTTCTTTCATCAAAACTGCCCCCTGGTCGGACAAAATTTAACGGTCGTAAGGCTGTTGCTTAATCAGAATTGAGTATCTTAGCTAAAGTTAAGCAACCGGGTATCCGTTGAGAATCAGAAAATATAAAGGTACAACCGTTTGTAGATCGCAGCCTCGTACAGACTGTCATAAACAGGGATACAACATAGAGTTATCGTAGCAGGTTCCAAGCACCATTCCTTATGATAGAACATCAAAACTAGCCATTTGTTAAGCGGGTAATGTAATTAGATAGGATCACCAAACTATTGTTGGCACACAAAATCAATGAACGATCAGGTGATGTTTGTAAAGTGCTGGTGTTGGAATACCATAATGGTCTTACTCTTCGACTGATGTTTGTGTTGGAGTTCCTACAAGGGGAGCATGATATGTTTTCAGCAACTTTTAATTTTCATACTCTTATATTCGCTCAGCAAGTAATCCAACTTTCATCTGAACTTAGTGTGTCAGCATCTCGCGACAGAGCACTGATGCTTCGGACCGCAGTAGGTGTAAAAATCGGCTGCCGGATGTAGGCCACAGCACGTCATACAGCTCCTATCTGACCCTCTCATCTTCGGACTCTTGTGGTTGTGTATACTTTCAGATCTAGTATTCACTGTGCGCTACTAGAATATAATCGTAACAGGGGCACTGCCTGTTCACCATTGAGGAGAAGTCACGTCGTTTGTATTCTGCTACTCCGGACCATTGATTACAGTTGGTCACTTTAAACAAACGGTCCAACTTAAATTGATTGGTCGACTTACGCCGGTAGGGAATTCACCGTTCACACGCGTGTGCATACTTGAGCGCGTGGACTTTGTAAGTCACCGAGACAAAAAACGGACTGATTAGGAGAGTGGTTCTACCAGTCTATATGCGCCACAATCATGCGTAACAAGGGTAGTCGTTATGATGAATATGCGGTTTCTTTTTGTTTGGTATCGATGCTCTCTACCTGCGACTGAACGCAATTGGGGTAAGATCAAGACGCCGACAGCTTGGGTGAACTGATCTAGATGAAGTCCTTTGTGTTCTGGGTGAAGGATTTGTGTCTGATTTTTCTGGAGGAAATAAATTTCTTTTTCCATCTAGGTTGCCCGAAAATAATGATAGTCGTTCAGCCGTATAATCCCTCCGGCACCTAGCTGTCACGTCTCCAGAAGGAGGCACAAGGGCCGAGATACTACCAGGCTTCCCTAGTATGGACAGCGAAGTCAAGATGCTGTGGTTGGGTTCGAACCACGGGTTTTTTTATCAGCAAGTTTGCGCTTTACCACTGAGCTGGACGAGCCCTAGTTTGCTCCGAAGAGTCAGTGCATAAGCCTATACTCGTATATTCTTTCCATCGAGTCTTTCGGTACCATAGTCTGGCCGGCTCACACTTTGGCTACTTTGGATATGTTGAAGTCATGATTCGTGTACAATGTGGTCGAATGAAGTAGAGCGGATAAGTAATCCCAAATGCAAGTCTAGTTTGAGGCCACGTAAGTTGTAGTTCGCAGGACCTGTAGCATAGTGTCTGAATCCATGGGCCTCTTCCTTTTGCTGTCATTTGGGTACGATAGCTTGGCTCTAGCTGCAACCGCTGCACAAAGTTTTTCGCCACATTTCTCAATGTCCCAGTGAAACGGTTCCAATAAACATGCATAGGGTGGCTTGATTTGTTGGGCAAAATACATAAAAAAACCCTGCCTCCTATATACTGGTTGATTTATCGGGAAAGTACATTACCTCTTCCCACAAAGAAACACCAGTCGGTGGTGCCCGATTATCTCTTACTGACAGGTTCTTTCCTCTTGGTAGTGGGCTGGTAATAACCGCCGGCTATACTTCCTACAACTACTTAGAGGGAATTCAGTAGGCTGCGGGCTCCCCATGATCTCTTCAATGTTCACGCCAAACATCTTTAATAGCCGTACGGTGGTACATCAAAACACAGCATCTGTGTGATGATGAAAATCTCCTATGATCAGGATGATAACGGATAACCAAACTTCGTGCTAGTTAACCCTGACTGGATTAGGGACAACAAACTATAAACAGCACCTGTACAGCGGTATATTTTTCGCTATTGGAAGCTGAATGAATTCCAGTTTCCGTGTGCCGTTTCGTCCTGCGTTCCATTTTCATCGTCCAGAATCCCTGTGGTTACTGCTTGACCTCTTCCAATGACTTTTTTGGTGTATTCAAAGCTACACTTTTCATGAAAGCGGAAAAGTTTCTCGGATGGTTTGTAAACAGCATAATGAGAATCGGTCATTGAGCCCGGCACTCAGCAAGTAAATGTGCATCCGCGGCAGAATTCGTTATTTTGGTTTCCTTTGACCAGCGGAACAGTCTTTTCTGAATTGATTTCCGGAGCGTCTGATTTTTCGACGAGGAAATCTTTACCAAAGTATTGTTCACTCCAGAGCTTTTTCCCGTATGGGGTCGGTCCTTCTTAGATCCTTTGCCGACTTACATTTCCTTTTTTGTATGACAGACCGGTTGTGCAGCGTTACCCTAATTTTCATTTAACTTCTCAGGTGTGACGCGCGAAGTGAACAACTTGATTAAAGAAAACCAGGATCTTGTTCAAACTAAGTGAGTTTTCACAGTGTGTCCCGCTGTGTCTGGTTGAGGCCCGGGCACGTCGTATTCCGTAAATTCTCCTTAGACCCTATCGTTCCCCGATCTCCTCGGAGTGTCAGTTTTCCCTACTAGATGCTTAAAGGCCAGTCAGCTTGAACTCGAGCTGTGGGTGGCTGAATACGTACGGATCTCTACCCTACTGATTCGTACGACAGTCGCTGTCTTCTTACCTGTTATCCACTGGGTTTTCACACATTGACTTCGGATGTGAGCAGTTCCACACGGTTGGTGATCAGTTATCATGGCATCGTCAATCTGTAAACGACACTGGGAACATTCACACAGTTTTCGGACTGGCCGTTTTCCTGTTTATGTGGTTTGAATTATCCTATGTATGACTGACGAATTGGTCGCCTCTATCGTTTGATCAACTAGAGCCAACGAGGGTCTTGAGGCTGTCCAAAATGTCCAAGAATTCGTGACCTAAATTCGCTTCATGCAATTAATTATCGTGCACTTTGTCATAGATCCAAGTCTATTGGTTCCACAATCGGGACGGAAAATACTAGCACACCTGCCAAGCACATCCTTATCCTCGACTGGGTCATTTCATGATGATACGATGAATCGTTTGCACTCAGTTGTCTAATGCTTTCGCTTGTTCAGAATGGAGGGGAACCTCCACAAACAATGAAAACAAGAAGTCATTTTTTACAGAATGGATTGATAACACATTCAGTACCATCAAACCTCCAAACAGATACAAGTTCATTTTCCCAAAGTCCCTGGGTTAGTTACGTAACAAGCTAGCTGAACAAGAAGGGCCAGAGTTTCCGCCTTCGTATATCGAACCCTAGGACGATCCGTCATTGGTCGGAAGTACTGGCAAGCGTAGCTCAGTCACACCCAACGGCGCACATGCGTCCAAGTTATTGCCCTCAATGCGCTAAGTTTTCCGCTCTCCAACTTGTAACTCGTAATGTTCGGGCCTTATTCTGTTTTATTCTGAAATGTGCCTTTTCGAATTTAACGAAGAATGGGAGTGAGCCAAGTAAAACCACAACAGCATAAACGAGGAATTCAGCCGGGTTCCAGGTGAGTATCCCATCAAAACCAAATTCGGTTGCAATTTAGTTTATTTCGCTAAAACCGCAACAGTTCTTCAGCACAACACTTCTCCAGTACTCCTGATTTCTCGTTAGATTTCAACTCGCTTTGCGAATTTCTGTGTTTCATTTGCAGTCGTTGGGCCGAGACATCCCGTTTCCAGGTATCTGAAAGACTATTCAACATCGCGCTTTTCCATTCCAATCACTACCCAGGAAGCCAAAGCACAACTCAGATTCTAGTGGATTTTCAGAGATGCGAATGTTTAACTTTTTGTTCCACTTGAATTCAATGGTCACATCTAGGAGAACGGGAACATTAACCTTTGTAATAAGATCAAACTACAATTAGCTTTTGGCATTACATAAAGGTACCTATTATTGTTGACCTGATAGGGAGTTTGGGCCCTCCCAGAACACGTCAAGGACCCCCTCCAGTCTTAGCTGAAACAAGCCGATATCCAAGATCCCATGTTAACAATTGACGATTTATCGATTAGATTTCAAGAAAACAATCATAAATACTTTATTCTTCATGTCATTTATGCCACAAAAAATTGAAATTACGAGAATTCGATTTGAAATACCGTGTCGAATCTGGCTATAACTTTCTGCATTTACTCGGTGGTTAATTTTCAGAAGCACATTACCGAGTCATTGACCTAGACTACTCCGCGGCCGCGAAATGTGTGCAAGAAGCTGGATTCAGAACGTAGGCCCGTTCCGTTAATACCAATATATTGTCAGTGAACGTATTTATCACAAATGCGTTAGTCCTCTTGAAAGGCCTGATGTTCAAATCAGGGTTACCTTCAAGAGTTCAGACAAACCAGAGACTACCTGTACGCGTACTTCGTCAGAGGCCTCACGCGTCGTAACCACAGAAGCTCTTCGTTCACGCATATAGCGGCAACGGGTCGGAGGCTATTTCAAACACTGTGTCACTTCTTTTGCCATTCGTACTGTTTGAATATGCCACAGTTATCCTGACAAGAGGGAACGAATTCCAAGTCTCGTCCCCCCCCCCCCATGACACTCGGAAGTGCTGACTCTTTTACGCTGAAAAAGATGAACGCCACAATGAGTGTTTACCGGAGGTGGTTCGAGTTCCAAAGATGCTGCATTTAAGTGCCACTAATCCCAAGCTGCTGTTGCGCTAATTAGAGTGATAATCATGACCAAAACTATCGGTCTTCCCTGAGTGGAATGAGCGGGTTCTGTAAGCGTATACGGAGCCCCATCAGACAAGGTTTTAAGGACCGTGCGCTTCCTGAGCTTCTTATTTCTTGTAGTCCGGGAGAAAGTCGGTCACGAAGTTGATGAGTGCGCCATTCTAGTGTTTTACCGCAGTTCCTAGCTTCTGACCATCATGATGCTAGTTTGAGTATCAGTATAACCCTTTGCATTACTGAATGTTGGTTGATTTTCACCCGTTTTTGCCAGGAACGCTTTGAACGTGGTCACGAACGACTTGATCGGTCGTATTGATGAGTTAACATGGTAAGTTGTTTTCGAGGGCCTTGTTATGCAGTTAGTTGCTTAAGTTTGTAGCTCTACGCCTCTCCCATTCAACGGCTAGTATCTCGGTGATTCTAAAGTTGATCGCTCTTTGGGCCACCAGACGTGAGGGGGCGCTACTTGCATTTTAATCATTAATAGTAGTGTGTGGTGTACCATACAGACCCGTTCAATTTATCGCTGGGTATTGTATCGGCTGAGTATGATACAACAAAGACTGCGAAACTGCCGGTCACGATTTGTTGGCACTACCGGTGAAAGAAAGAAGGCCTTCGCTGCAGAGTCATTTATTAGAAAATGCCAACTGAACAGTTACATACTATTGGACAGGGAAGCGAAACTCCCATGTGCATCTTGTTTACAAAAACTGAATATCTATCTTCTCCTTGAACGCGTCTTCCTGAGCTTTCCTGGACATTCATTGACTGTTGATCAAATCCAAGCAAGTGCGACTCCACAAGTTCCGTAATAGATCTCACTTTTCAAGAGACGCAAGGCGGATTTACGAGAAAAACATACTACTCGCACGCCTCCTATCAGTAGTATCACCGTCACGCAGATAAAATTTAACTAACCAGAAGGTCGGCCGTAAATAACCACACCAAAAGGAAGTAACGAATCGGATAACCGGGTGGTTTGGGCACAGTTTGGACGACCTTCAATGACCCTACCTGAGCATCTGTTCAATAAGTAAACCGACACACCTTATTTCAACAGCGACAGTTGATAGTATACTGGCTCTCATACCGGTCCTCACCGCTCTGTAGGTAATGTGGGCGGATGGCAAGATGGCTCAGTGGTTGGAGCGCGAATGTGCCGGCCGGAACGTCCGTGATTCCAATCCGACCTCTGCCTCTCGATTTCTGTGTCTAGGCTTGGGAAACCAGGCAGTATCCAAGCCTTCGTGTTTCCTTTTGGTGGTATGGCAATTGGGCACGAAAAAGGTGCTACAGCTGAACGATTTTCTCACTGCTCTGTAGCGGGCACGGACTTGGGATCGGTTGTAATGCAGTATACTCGGCGAAATCGTCCACGATGTCTCGTTGAAGGAGAGATTTTTACAATCCAGGTATGGCTATTTCATATTCACGCAGCAACGGAGATACGCCTTCTACCGGTTTTGGTATGTTCGTATCCAATAACTGCAGACGTGAAGCCACATTGAATGGTAAAGGGATCAGTTGATCGCTGCAGAAGGTAACAACAACTGAATCAAACAAGTAGATAATTATCGTAGTCTCCTTGAACAAGTTGCGTGTTGGAGTGTCCATTTTAGGATCTAGGTGATTGATTTTTCTATTGAATTCTGGTTGCACCACGAATATCGTCCTCAGTAGTAAGGCGGTCGCTGTGAGTTTAGCTCTATGGGAGAAACACTATATTTTTTCTGGGTTCCTTGCTACCTATCAGTTGTTGCTTGCACAACTTTCGCTCACCCGAGTCTCTTTCCTACCCTCCTTTCAAATCACAGAAATTTATTTAGCAGTTTTGTTTGTAATATAATCTGTCATCCCGATGTTAACCACCCTATGAACCCGGTGACCTATTTCTTCCAAACGCTGTGTGTCATCGACATAGATTTCCATCTCATCTCATTGGGTAACAAAATTACCCATTATGGAGCTAGTTTGAAGCAGATCTCACTGTATTTTCACTCTCCTGTTAGCCTCATTTTTCAGGAATACTAACTTTAGTGACATCTGTTCACTAAAATATTCTCCGGTAACCTCTGATGCTCATCTCTTTCCTAGTGAGAATGTACGGCTTTCTTCGGAACGAAATGCGCTCATCACAAGCAGCACTGGAATGTTGACACGCATAAAGGATCTAGAACAGGAATGCCGTCGACTCAGACAGGAGTTGGAGAACAGCGAGTTCCGGGACTCTGTCTATGCAAACTCTCAGCAAGGTGTGGACTCCTCTGATGAGGTTTGTTCCTCTTACAACTTCCACTGCCTACGTATCTTAAACCATTTGTGCACCCGTTTTAAGTGGGTATCTCCGCTTATGTTTTCTTCTGAATTTTCGACACATGTCTAAGATGCTGGATTTATGACCAATTTCGATTTGCTATCAAAGTCACTTTTGCCACTCAACTCGTACGATACAGCCGACTATGTCCCAAGGTCACCAGTTCATTGTTGTTTTATCGTGACTACCACTCATCGATAAGTCATGCCCTCAATTTGAACAAAGCAGTCTATGTGAGTAAACTGAAGGGTTCCACTCAATGCATTTTTGTCGGTTGTGTATAGAGTGGTTTGTGCCCTCAGAGAAATCGAAGTGTACAGCCTATGACTCAGGAAGGTCTACTTGATCTACAGTGTCCGTGCACTGCAGCCCTTATACAACCCTTCTGTATGTGATTCCAAGAAAAGCAATTTTGCCACAATATATACATGGCAAGACGCAGCGAAATTTGGTGAGAGGCATGCACAACCAGATAACAGATATCATGAATACGGAAATATCTTTGAATTTGCTTTTTTTGGGGTCCAGACGTTTCCCTCACTTTCTCGGAGGTTTTCCGATTTGAAAAACAAAAATGGGAAAGGCTGACTTAAACCACTTGCTGCACAAAGTTAACTGAGCGGTTGGTCACACAATACGGGACCACCAGTGAAAGAATATTTGATAGGGGGAATTGTTGTCCGGACGATTTCTATCGCATGGTTTTCTTTTGCATGGCATGGGTAGAGAAAAAGGGATTTATGGCAGCTCAAATCACTGTAAGACACCATTTCTGTATTCATTCAATATTTGATAGACCACCAGTGAAAGAATATTTGATAGGGGAAATTGTTGTCCGGACGATTTCGATCGCATGGTTTTCTTTTGCATGGTATGGGTAGAGAAAAAGGGATTTATGGCAGTTCAAATCACTGTAAGACACCATTTCCGTATTCATTCAATATTTGATGGGACCAGATAGTAATCCAGATCAGTTCGCAATTTAGAACATTTGACAACTACGGCTACTCTAAGAGCAAGTTGGAACTGTTGTTTCAAGATGCTCAAAATGGGTGATGCCTAGATCCGCACCACCTTAATGACGAGCTCATCCTTTTTCTCCCATTTCTGGACGCCAGAGTTTCCTGCATACACATTGGCAAGACCCGTTCCAAGTCTTACGAAGCGTAATAAAAAGTCTCGTCAACAGTATGATGAGGCACTGTACGGAGGACTCGCTAACGAAGCTGGTGCTGTATTAGATAAAAGGTGTGTGCTGTCCTTTAGTGATGGGTAACAGAAGGATTTTAGGCCTTCATTTGTCCGCCAAACTTCGCCTTTGGTTCGCAGTCGCTTCGTTACCAATCGAGGAGACATTCTCGGTACACGGTCGGGGGGGGGGGGGCTGAACCAAATGCAGCTAGATGGGCGGGTGGGGGC